GTGAAAGTACAAGTGCGTCTGTCGTTGCTTGTCTCATTGTCGCGTGCGCGTATAGGTGGACAACCGCGCAACGAAAACTGTGTGTCGCAACCGGCCATTACATGCCCGAGGTTCTCCGGAGCCATTGGTTTTCGTACGATAAAAGTGATAATTGATCGTTTCCGATATCGAAATAACAACCTTGATCGAGGGTAAAAACGAATGGACACGCAACCATAATTGGTTAATTGCGACGACAGGAATATAACTCAAACTGTGTGGCAATCTAATCGCTTTTTTTGTTCCATCTCGCTTTCATAGACAGATGATCATTGTGTCGTCGATAATTGAAGCCTATAATGAATGGAATTGCCATTTAGTGAATCAAAAAACAACATGAGAAAGGGACGTAGATTACGCAACTTGTTCCAAATGTTTCATAGAGAACATTCTGTAATTCACACAAATCTTATCTAGTCGGATATTCCTCTCCCTGACCTCTGTTTCTCGAAATGGAGATAATTATATCTAATATACCAATGCCATAAATATAAATCACCACAGATATCCTAATTAAACGTCGAAGCGGTTCACCGAGTGAAACTTTCTCGTAAATCAAGCAGCGATCTTTCCGCGGCTTATCAATGAATAATAGCTATTCGCCGGCGACCTTTTAACGCTCCGTACTCCTTCTAATGCGTCGTTTCAAAGTCGGATTATCAGGAGACCACCTAAACGGCCTATACATCGTCCCGTGGAAATTATTCATGGAAACGCGCAGCTTGTCGCTAACATTTACCCGGTACTGGCTTAATCAATTGCCTCGGAATGTAGACAACTCGTGCGCGAACTTTGATTTATCGGGTACGCGTAGATTTCAGTTAGGGGTGCGACCGGTCGAAGCACCTATATTTTTTACTCGACGTACCTTTCGCTATTAAGAAACGATACGAGGGCTAAGACGTGGGCAACGATCGCCTCGTTCTTGCACCAGATAGATTCGTATAATCATGTCCGAGGGTATTTATCGGTATTGGTTGCCGGTACGGTTCGCAATGATTGAACGCGCCGGCCGTTGTTGACACTTTTATGATTGAGCGGCCTTTGCGGAGGCAGTGGAACTTGCAAAGTTGTCGACCGGGAAAGAAGTTAGCCTTGCTAGGTTGATTGCGCGCGGCGCACGGCTGGTTGAACGAACGAAATCGGTGGGCAGCTCGGATAGAAAATTTCTTCTCGCTTTATGACTCCGCACAAATTATTGTAGGCTGAGACAAAGATTAACTTTCTACAAGATGTTCGATTGCGAATCGGCGATTCTATGTGCGCTCAGGTTGATTTGAAAATTTCGTCAAAGGAAAAGTGACGAGTCAAACGAAAGGCGGCACCCATAAGTGGCTGTGAGAATCGAACGCTTGATCGATCTCATCCGCGATATTAACTCGCACGAACATTATTCGTGGACTCGTACGGGAGATAGTTCCGCAAGATAAATCATGAATACGCGGAACGACAAGTGTTCGTTCGTTCCTATAAGGCACAATTTCTATAACAAGCTTAGAATCCGGCCCATCTGACACGCAGATTGCGTATCTCGTTTTATTACCGCCGAGAGAAGTTAGCATCGGCGCGTAATGCGTGTCCTTAATGCGTATCTTCGAGGAAGCCGATAGCCATCGAAGGAAGGCATGCGACTACCGCTGCGTTTATGGATCCCCCTGGTCGTTCTCGTGACACGGCCAAAGAAAAACAACGATAGAGGGGAAATAGAGAGATCGGGATAAATCGGCGTCCGCGATGCGGACGACGATGGACCAATTACGTTGCCGGCGTGAAACTCGCTTCGTCTCGCGCGTTACATACGCGCGCGTGTGGAGAAATCGGGAATTTATCGGAACATTAGTATAACGCAGGACGATTCTAAAGACGAGCTCGTGTTTTTGGAATCGTTTCAAAATATTTTAGAAATACTCACCGGGGGAAGCCGGGGACCTTTGTCCCATTTTCAGGCGACTGCTCGATCGACCGAGAGATTTGTCTGGCCGCGCTGTTGGCGATCGTCCAAACGAATTCTCATATTTTGAAACGAGCAGAAAAAATTTGGAAAGGTATTAAAGAACGGAAGATGGAAAGAGGGAGGATGCGCGTGGTCGTAATTTCGCGGGACGGCGTCGTAAAAATAAGGTCACACGATGCGGGGATGATATTAAGCTCCTACGCCTGTGAACGTGGATATGCGCCTGCATTAGCATAAGCCTGGTATGCGAGATAGTCGCGCGTAGGCGTGTATATGTAGATACGAGTGGACGGAATGTGAAAAAATGAAAAGACGATAAAAAGAGAGCCGATACTAAGGAATTAGTGGTGTGTCAGGGGGAGAAAGAGAAAGGGGCGACGTAGATGAGAAAAATCGTGTGGAACGCAAGTGCCCTATAGTATTCGAGACACGTAGATAAGCATGTTGAATTTGGAACGTATATCTTGTAAGATAGCAGTATCGCGTGTAACTTTCCTGCCTATGAAAAATATATTTTATCGATCTTTATATATTTCAAAAATCATCTAATTCTCTAATTAAGAAAACGAGTGACTAAATCCGTTACATAAGATATTCTCAGAAATCATTTCCGTATCTGTTTCGTATCTTCCATGCTCTCACAGACAGAAGTAGATACTGGTTAAATGAATCGATGGGTAAAAAGATAGGAATGTTGGAGAGAGTAAAGGGAAAAAAAGGTCGCATAATGCATGAGAAATGTTACGTGTAGCTAAGAAGTGTAGGAAATACAAGATCGGCGATGTCGCGGTGGTTAACGAGCAAACCGGAGTATCAGGAAACGATTTCCTGTGTCGTTCATGTGTAGACGATAGTTAATAAATGAGCGCTGCTGTTTGTACCCGCGCGACGGGGACTCGCGTCGCGTCGCGTCGCGCGCGGGTAGGTTCATCTATCCGTGGCGCGAGTAAACCTGGTATGTACCGATAAAGCGAGAACCGTAGCCGCGTAAAGATAAGGCCCGCGAGATAAGCTAACTCCGCGATTTAAATACTCCCACTGTCGTTGGCGTGGATCTCCCGAGCCACGAGACGGAGGAACTTCGCACCGCGACTCATTTGCATTTCCATCGTTAAACCTCTTTAATGATCTACAATCTACGATAACGTCTCGTTGTTCGATTATTCTTATTCTCTAAATCATATTTTCTGATAAGTCGAAGCCGTGATCTGAAAATTTCCGATCAATCGTAACAAGCTTGATTGTGTGTTGCGAGATAATTAGAGGCGCGGTTGTCAGCTCTGGGTTTACGTCGTCGAGCGATAGGAATGACATGCTCGAGTTAAGGCCCGTAGGTACTCGCGTTAGGAACGCGGTAACGAACGAGGCCGCGAACAATGTACGAATAATTTTCTAAGGCCCTCCCGTAGAAAGAAGTCCCCGCGAGAACACGGTATCATTAATTATATGCCCGTGTCCGGGCATGTTGGAATGCATATACATTAGCATAAGCCCGATACGCGAGATAGTTGCGTGTAGGTGTATACAAGCGGTGCGAGGCATAAAGGCTCTGGTTCGCTGGCAGGAGCGAGAGGGTAAGAAAAAAGGCGAAAAACGCGGGAAATGAGGAAGGAGGTAGGAATAGATGTTCGAAACGTAGCAGGGGAGGAAGAAAAGCGAACGTATAAGGAAAGCGGTTCCCAGGTACCGCGGCCGCAGATGCTCTATAATCCTGGCTAGGCAGATAAACGATGTGGAACGTAGCAGGCTATCGTCGAGTTTTTACAAGAGGACACTGTTCGAACAGCGGCGGAGCGCATAGGCGCGTGCAACGTGCACCCCGCTGAGCGTTAGTGTTTATCAGGCGCGAGGTCCCGATCGCAAAATCTTGCTGATAGAGTGGAAATCCTAGCCAAGCAACAGCGGGTCGGATGACTCTGCTATTCGACAAGTCTTACCGTTAGGATGAGCGAGAGTTTCATCGAGAAGAATCTAAGTCCAGAATTTATTGACAGTTTAATAACTGTTAGTTTAAATTCCGTTGTTTTATGACCCATTTCAGTTGATTATGGTATTTTTACCTCTATATATCTGTCGTCGATCGATACGTGAATTGGAAATTAAAACGCGCCTCGGGTTACCAATTACTATTATGGGTTATTAATTGCAACGTTACGCCAATGCGCTTGGGAACTTGCCGCATTAGCATACGTTTGGTATGCGGAGTGGTGGTAGGCGTAGGTGTAAATAGACGCGATGCGCAAAAATAGAAAAATGAAGAAAAACATGTTAATGAATAACGTGTCCGCGAAAAGATATTTATAAAAAACGTGCATACATGCCTCGGTGGTATCTGCAGTATATCATGCATGCATGTTTCTATTCTATGCTCGCGGAGTCGAATTTTCGTCAACGTGTTTAGCAACGAATCGACGACAGGTAACAATGGTTGGTAGCACGTGGTAGCACGAGGGGGATTACGCGGTTTGGCTCCTTCGGAACTCGAATGCTTGTACAAAGGAACGCGGTAAAGCAGCGCCGATAATGCGAGAACCGTGGTTGCGTAAAGATAAAGCCGACGAGATACGCTCGCCTCCTCGATTACTCAAGCGGCGCGGCGCGACGCGGGTATCCATCCGCGCGCGGGAACTTAACGCCGCGTTCAATTTGCATGATCATCCGCTTCCCCTAACAACACGCGATACAACCGGCATAACAATTCGGTTTACTACTCGCGCGCGTCTTCGTTTGAGCCGTAACCATCGCTAGCTCGCGATACAATCGATGCTTGTCGCTGATGCGTCCGATCCGAGTTCAATTAGCATTCGTAATGCATCTACTCGGTGATTAATCGCGTCAAAAGGAACTCGATCGTAATAGCTTCGTTTCGAGCGGTGCCTCGTACACGTAATCCTGCATTATCCTAATCTGAGTCGATTTTTTTTTCAATTGCGTTCTACACATCACATCGTAACACACAAAGACAGTGCAATTGACGAGAGATGTATAATTGCTTGAATGTACTTACCGAGACAAGTGATCGCATGATCGGCTGGCGGTCGTAGGACGTTCCGAGCCCAGGCTGCCCTCAAGACCTCGAGGGCACAGGGTGGTCCGCCGACCATCAGCACCCCAGGTGAAACGTGACCCTTGTACCTGAGTTGTCGGGTTGCGTCCACCAGGGCTGCGTTCCACCAACACTTCGAATTGGCTTCCAAGAAGCTCTGGAAGGATACAAAACATATTTAGCCCATAAATAGAGATTCCTATATCTCATCTATAATCATAATAAAATTGTCAGAAAAGTATATGGACCCGAAGGTCATAATACATTTCGCGAATTGCCGGTTACAATGTCGTAACAGCAGTACATCTTCCATTACTGGGGTGAAGATAGAATCTTGGGATTCATCTCTCGAAATACGGTCCTGCGGCATAAGTGTTTACTGGCACCGGGGATCGTTGGCTAGCGTTCACCCCTCTCATAAACTCTAACCGAAACTGTGCCACCCTCGTAGATTTCCTTGATTCTCCGCAGTGTTACGGCCGGTATATATAGGCGTGTGCCATGATGGGGGTCGAATAAGCCAGACAGTGCTCATAAACGAACGGCTCCGCAGGATTTTCACCGAGCATCGATTCGTTCGTTTCCCCTTTTCTTTCGGATCTCGATCTCCCTCGGTGCTCCACGGTAAACCATGAAATTAGAGAGAAGTGTCCGAATCGATTGGCCGATTCACCAACTGGCATGATTCATTGCGGCCTTTGTACAGATGGAACAGTGCATTACGCCTTTGTCCCTTTCGTGATGTTCGTCTCTCTGTTCGAGATAAGAGGAGGAGCCACGTGCGAACGTAAATCATCCGAGCTTTTGATTCCATGGAATCGGGAATTAATCGTGTCCAGAGAGCCGAACCGCATGATGTTGCATGCGTTATGTTTATATAATGCGTTAGAAAGTTGATCTTTTCTTATGCAATGTATTATACTGAGATAAGGAGACTCTCTCGTTTCAGAATCGCAGTTAAAAATTTCTTTCTCCTCACCGGGAAGAATAATAATCGTGATAAGGGAGTGGACGCCGTCGATCTCGCTCCGCGAAAACGATTATTGCGTTGTGTTTGTAGTTTTAGCATATCGCGAGAACGGTCCGGGCCAATTTATCTGACATTTTTTCTTCCTTACTTCCTCGATCATTAATCGCCGATGATATCGCGAGATTTGTCATGTCTACTGTACTCTTTAATGCGCTTTCTCGCGGCTCCTTTTTTATTTTTTCCAGCTTTTAGTTTACGTAACGCATCAAGATATAACTTAAGTTTTTTCGTATTCACATTGAATTTGTTCGTACTCAAATGAGCTTCATCGATATACATATCTCGTCCAAGCCCGGTTTTCCGTTCTTTAAAATCGTTCATTTTTAATTGAACCTTCTGGTAAATCCAGTGCCATCAATCTCGCGAGCAATTTGGTAACGAGGACCGACAATGCGTTCATCCTTCGCTTTTTCACGTTCCCGTTCTCTGTCCTCCGTTCGCTCATTGAACGCAGACTATACGTTCAAGGACCCTCGATGGGGTCTGGCTCGCTGCACCTGACAGGACATTTTTCACATCGAGCCCCCAACTGAAAATGCTCGACGAGTCCGCTCCCCCCAAAAACGTCGCGAATAATTCTGCCGTGTATCGACCGTAATGGTACTTGTCCTCCCGAGGCGTGACCTCTCGCTAAACGACACCCAGTTTCAACCGTTCAGCAAAATATTTTATTTTGCATCCCAGTTTTATGGAATTCTAAACATTATCGTATTTAAATTTTAATTTAGTACACTATTAGCATCTGCAGCGGTACTTGAAAAAAATGTTCGACCGGTGCCCGCCGAGGAAATGAGAAATGTTCTTTGAACTCGATCTCGAAGTGGCCGAACGTGAACGGGAAACCAATTATCCTTTATAACGTTTGTTAAAATATGTCCGTTGGTTCATTGCTCGTTTCGATTCGAAACGCACAGTGCGATCCCCATGATGGGAATTGCTCGAGCGCGCAGCGGCACGAAACGAGAGCTCGCCTGCTCCAGTTCGATCCGACAGATATAATTCATCGCGTTGGGAAGGTTCCATCGTTTGGAAACAAGAATGACAGGCCATAACTTCGATTCTCGATCGGTGAATGTCATTACCTTATCTACGACTTTTCTTCGCGTCATCTCGCGCAAGGCCGAGGTAAAGACTAAAAAAGAACGTCGCACTTTTGGTTAGTTTTATACCATTGTGTTCGGGCAGGACGAATGACACGTTTGACGTCGGCAACAAGAGCAAGTATTAATCCGACGTATTATAATTTCGAGACGTTATCTTTGATTGAATCGTTACTTAACGCGGTGATTTAACAGACTTATTCGTGTCAAGGCGTAACTCAAGGATGATCGCGAATCTCGCGATTCCTTGATGTAGATACGATAATCGCATCTTCTTTTCGATAGGCAACGTCACTGATTGCATCCAGATTCCTTTCATCAAAAACGTTTCATGTCTCCAATAAAATAACTTTCGTTTTAGAACAACCGTTTTATATATATATAAATATCAAAGTGGAAACTTTGTAAACCGCATCAATTCTGCAAAATTGTTCTTCGCATGTAGCTAGACGTCTTCCGATCGATCGAAACCTCATTTTTCTTGGTCCGCTGCGCACGCCGCGTTGCCGAGAAGAAAGCGATTTCTTGCTTAAGTCCCTCCGTCTCCTGCCTTACATTGTCACGTGGCGCGAGGTCGAGTCGGACATTGACTAAGCGCAACCCTTTACTCCGCCAACAAAAGGTGTTAAAATTCACTGTGAAAGAGCGCCATTATATCTACCAGACTACGTTTTAGAAACTCTTTTGTTAAATCGTTCCGAGCACGCACGCACGGGAAACAATTCTTTAGAATTTATAGATTCTCTGAATGATAGAAATGCACGCGAAGAAAATAGATAGGAATCGCGCAAACGATATGTATACTCTATTAGCATTGTTTTCCTGGATCATATGAATTATATCAACACCCGGATGAGAAGGAAGAAGGAAGCTGAGAAATTGTAGGAGAAATATAGAGAGTGAAAGAGGGAGAGTCGCAGAAATAGCGTTGCTAATCGGCCCGATGTTCCTGGTGCACGTTACGTTTATATTGCTATTTCCTTGCCGGCAATGAACTTGCGGCAATTCACTCTGCAGGGTATACGGTCGTTGGCTACCCACTAATTATTATGCAATGTGCTAGCCGTGCTCTTGCGAGCATGCTTATCCTTTTAGAGGCTCGGCCGTAAGAACTGAGTATAGCCCAAGAAATGGACACCAGGCTCGTTGCCGCCAGGTTCGACAATATTCCACTCTCCATTGATCATCGATGATTAAAAGGATGAGCTTTTATTAAGACGATCAAATTCAATCGTTTCTTACTTATTAATTTTATTGAACGTGAAGTAAATCCGCTTGTCGAATGAACAAGGCTTTATAGAATTTAGTATCCAAGTTCTATTGCAGTTTTCCATTTTAAAATTTAGTTACACGTTGGATAAAGGTAAAAATCTCTGGGGGTTCCGGTTTGATCAAGGAGAACCAGTTTTTTCTTACGGGTATTGAAAGCCGATGGAAAATTGAAGCATTTGTCGGCTCGGATCTGGTCGTCGTCGAATTTTAATCAGTAGCCCCCCGTTCTGCGGTGGCTGTGTGGGCACAGGGCTCGCGAACATAAATCACGATAACATAATTTATATGCTAATACTGCGAGTGCACTGTGCGCGATGCAGGCCGAGGGGTTTAACAGGGTGTAACTATACGTTCCCAGCTGCTCCACATAGGCGTCGATCTTTCCTTATCATCACTTTATCAACGAGAGTCAAAAGCAAAACGAAACTATAGTCACCTCGTACTATTATCCTTCTATGAATCAGTGATGTTAATTAGTATAGAATTTATAGTTGTAAAGACGCTTATGCACTTTTTTTCTTATGAACATATTCTAATTTAAAATGAATTTTAGTTTGTAAATATAAAATTATACCGAGTGTTTCGATGAGTGATATAAATTCATGAAACAATAGTATGTTTCGCAGATGTTCGCCAATGGACGTTTTATGTCATCGTAAACTGGAGGGACGTAAGCAGAGCACGCCGCGACGAGGACAAGGAACAGGGAGGTAGGTTTCCCTCATTTTTTTACAATTAAATTGGCAAACGGATAAAGGAAGACGAGGGCCGAGAGGTGAATGGGCGTCCTGTGGATAAACGAGTTCTCGTGCAACAGATAAAAGTCCTGCCTGGTTCACGATGCTCCAACCAGTGCCGCTTTGATTTATGAAGTCGTCGACGACGTAGAGGCCGGAAGTATAGATCTCGTTTTAACATCTTGCGGAATCGTTAAATAATCTTGATTAGCGAAAGAAACAGTGATTATTGATAGAAAATTGACCGGGAGAAAATATTTGAAAATAGAATACTTCTGCCGCTATGATATGTGGATAGGTTGAACGAAATCGATTCACGAGGCTCGTTGATCGAAAGTCACGGGCATATTGAAGAAGAAGCACAGCGGCGCGATATGATTGATGCGTTCCGCAAATTATATGTTTGATGAAGAAATTTGCTGCCAATTACCCCTACTGTTTTTAATTCCGATCGAACAGGGACACACGCAGTTTCAGCCTCAGGGAGAAGTTCTCTTAATCGGTCCCATGTTTACCCAGTTTATTTCGCTTTCTTGCGCCGCGTTAAAGCCGGCGGTCTTCATGGTTAATCGAGGGTACTCGCAGGAAAAAGCGGCGCGAAGTGAAACGCGATAAAAACGTACGATTTTCCGGGCGATATCATTTCCTTTCCGGTCATTTCTCACTCGCGAGCACGTATTTATAAAACGATCAAGAATCTCTGCTCGAGATCGAAGTGACAGGGAGCATCGTGCCCCGAATACGTTCGAAGGATCGCTTCGCGATAGGGAAATGTTCGTAATCAAATATCGACGTCTCGAGCGAGATTGAAATTGCAAAGAAGTGAATGTAACAAACCGGTATATCCTTGGTTTGCACTGCGGTTATGGGCGGGGAAGGCCGTACACAAAGCACGGTGTTTTTGCGGCGGTGCTCGTGGCAGGAATCGCCATACGGATGGAAAGTTCGACCGATTGCTGTTGCATCGGCCATATTCAAGGTAACGTGATCAACGTATCGTAATAACGGTCATTTAAGG